GGAGGTGGTTCAAGCACCTACATTGAACACCTTCAAGAGCAAATTGGATGCTTATCTTGCTGGGATCCTATGACCCCAGCTGACTTCCTGCCCTTTGGGCGGGGGCTGGACTCAATCTTCTGAGGTCCCATGTCTATGAATCTATGAATCTCACGGGGCTCCTGGGGGAGCCAAGATTTTAGTAGTGAAGCAAGTAGCAGCAGTAGCTAAACCCCATGGCTCCCAGAGCCAACATCTGCTTAGGGAGTATGTGGGTTAATACTTCATTGGCTCACCCCGCTGCTGAAATCCCAGGTAAGGATCCCTGTTGGGGACTTGCTTCAGCAGTCACAGGGCAAGCATTGGCAGCATTAACCCATTCAACTCCCTAACCCGACATAGTGCCTCAGGCAGCTGCAGGCACTAACATCACTGCCACTGGAAGTGGGTCTGATCCAGCCCCCAAGGAGCTCTGTGGTCCTGATCTGCCCTGTAGGACCAAATAAATGTGACCCCCCGGTCTAGGGTCTGCATGGAGATGCTCCGAACCTTTCAGCACTGCATGCAATAGAGGGATAGTGCCTGTAACTATGCAGGCAACGTGAATATTTGAGGGATCCGAGTAACAGCAGGACACGCTGAGACTAGGAAATAGCCATAGCAGAGGGGTGGGGAGGGGTTTGTCTTCCTCAGAAGCACTGGGTGTTGGCTGCAGCCAAGGCTGGGGATTTTGACTGGTGTGCTGATGCTTCTGCTGAGACACACCTGGAGGTTTCTGGTTCAAGCATCTTGCTTCTGCCTCTGCTTAGGATCAGACTGAATGCCACATTTGGGATTGGGAAGGAATTTTACACCATGGCCACATTTATACAGACTTTGTAGGATTTTTGCCACCTTCTGCAGTATGGGGGCACCATCATCTTGGATCTCTCAACTGTATTTGTAACATATATTCTTTCCTTGCAGTGGTAAGACATTCACCATGCCCTTGTCCCCAATCCTTTACTTGTGGCAGGTTAGGGTTTTCTTGGTGTTTTGGAATATTGTGCCTCGTTGTTCAAGGGAGTTTTTTGTGTGGTTTTCAAAATAAGTTACACACAATATTATAGGATGCATTAGTTCAAGAGGATTCTGCCCTGAGCAGGGAACTGGACTAGACCTCCTGAGGTCTCTTCTAGCCCTACTTTTCTAAATTCATTCTCCTGCTTTGCTAAAGAATTCTTTGTAAAGGACATATTTACTTGCAAAAATAGCATGCCTGAGTGATTATACCAAACAGTAAGTAAAATCTTTTATTTAAAGGGAAAAAAACAAAAAAAAACAAGATTACAAGATTAACTTCAAATGGTTTAAATCTGGGCCAGACTGGCATCTGTCTAGGATGGATTAGGAAGAGTGTATTCTGCACCTCTGCAGGAGATTGGACAAGTGGATGCCTGGAGTCCCTTCCAACCTTAAGACCACCAGGTTTCTTACCTGCTGATTTGAACCCCAAGGAATTATTCTGATTCAAGTCAATCCACTAAAACTGGAGAAGATGCCTACAGTGGGCATACTTAAATTGCTTCAACCCTGACCTCATCAATTAGCCTAATTCAGCAGTTTACTTACAGAAGCTAAATTTATTTGAGGGATAAACTGGTTTAAGTACATCATAGGTACGTACCGGTTTAAATGTATTGATTTAGATTATTACACCTATTTAGGGACTTAAAAGCACTAAGTAATTTGGAAAATCATCTTCCTTTTTTTTTTTTTTTTTTTTTAACTGGTTCACAGGAAATCAATAAGATTTACACATGAATTAAGCAAACAGAACTGAAGGCTTACAATTTTCACCAAGCAGAGTTACTTGTATAAACTAATGCTCAGTTAATTCCTGCTCTAATAAATATAAGTATTTCTTTCTTGGAGAAGCAAAGTCTGTCTGTTTATATCTTTTATTGGACCAACTATATAGACAGAAGAGAGATTAGACAAGCTTCTCTGCACAGAATACCTTCTCTCAGGTCTGGGAAAGAAGCAGACCTGAGAAATCTTTTGGGGTGTCAGCACTATAAACTATATTGAGGCAATGGGCAGATTTCAGATGTGGAGTATTACTGGCAGCCATTAGCAATTTCCTTCATTCAGAGAAGTGAATGAAGCTCCCGAGTCAGCTACCCAGATGCAAGGATCTCCATCTGTCCTCACCCTCCTCACCATTTCTCTTTTCTGGCTTCTTTGTTTTTCACCAATTAATATTCCTTGAAGTTTTGGAACTCGTGACGGGGGGTTCAAAAGTTGTGTCAAATACTGGTATAAGACCTGAGAGACATCCACTTAAAGGCGCGATGGGATCTCACCTCCGATCCCAACAGTCATGCCTCCTGCTATGCTGATGGCACTATTGGGAATCACAGTCCAATCATGCCATGTTGCCAAGGGAGGGGGAGCACAGGATCATGATCCCAGGCCCTGTCTGTACTAGCAGGTTGGGTGCCCGACAATCAACTGGATTGTCTGCTGGATCCAGTGACCCTTGGGGCCATTCGAGCCCCACTGTGGTCCTTGGAGCCAGCTGATTGTCAGCAGACCAGGATTGCCCTACCAGGGCAGTCCCAATCTGCAGTCAGCTGGCAGGGAGGTTTAAGCCCCAGAGTGGTCCCTGCTGGCTGATGATCAGCAGATTGGGATGGCGCTGTGGTTTGAGCCCTGGGCTGTCCTGAGCTCCCATCCACTGGCAGAGACTGGGATTCAAGTCCCAACGATCAGCTGATCAGGACTGCTCTGGGGTTACCACCCACAAAGATATTACACATTTTTTTCAAGTAATATCTTTGTGGCTAGTTTGCGATTGTATAGCACCATCAATTCTGTGAATGTGTGGCCAATTGCTATTCCTGGTGCAATTCACACCTTAATCCTGCCACAAATACAATGTGCACCAAAGGTGTAACTGTGCACAGTAAGGATTTAACTAGCACTACTATCCATCTCAGTTAAAAAAAAAACAAAAACAAAAACAAACAAACAAACAAAAAAAAACCCACACAAAACCCCCTCAAAAAACCACACTTCTCACTGAAAACTGTAAACAAGTAAGCATCAAAGCACAAAATAAGGCTTTAAGCTATCTCTGGCCACCGCAGGCCACTATTTCTGTTTGCCAGAGCCAAGAGTTTAAGAGTAGCAAGCTGATTAAATCACTCCTTATTTCTTCCTCCATAAAAGCTCAGAATTTCCTTTCACTGTAATCCAGCATAAACAAACTACAGCTGGTGCTAAGATTTGCAATGATACCAGTTCACATCTTTGCAAAAGCTGTCTGTCATCATCTTTGGGAAACTCAGAACAATTTAGGCAGCTGTAATTAAAAATGACAGTATATATCCAGCATACTTGTCATATTGCGTGGCTCCCTTTATGTAAATACTTCCCGTCTTCATC